TCAGTGTTACTACAGGAAGAAACCTAAACTAAACTAACTTTGTTTATACTGGATAGCTCTAACAGTTCTAAACTGTTCTTCCTAGAGGTCCAGTAAGGATCACCTCTTATTGAATCAGTGTTACTACAGGAAGAAACCTAAACTAAACTAACTTTGTTTATACTGGATAGCTCTAACAGTTCTAAACTGTTCTTCCTAGAGGTCCAGTAAGGATCACCTCTTATTGAATCAGTGTTACTACAGGAAGAAACCTAAACTAAACTAACTTTGTTTATACTGGATAGCTCTAACAGTTCTAAACTGTTCTTCCTAGAGGTCCAGTAAGGATCACCTCTTATTGAATCAGTGTTACTACAGGAAGAAACCTAAACTAAACTAACTTTGTTTATACTGGATAGCTCTAACAGTTCTAAACTGTTCTTCCTAGAGGTCCAGTAAGGATCACCTCTTATTGAATCAGTGTTACTACAGGAAGAAACCTAAACTAAACTAACTTTGTTTATACTGGATAGCTCTAACAGTTCTAAACTGTTCTTCCTAGAGGTCCAGTAAGGATCACCTCTTATTGAATCAGTGTTACTACAGGAAGAAACCTAAACTAAACTAACTTTGTTTATACTGGATAGCTCTAACAGTTCTAAACTGTTCTTCCTAGAGGTCTGATCCAGTAAGGATAATCTCTTATTGATCCAGTGTTACTACAGGAGGAAACCTAAACTAAACTAACTTTATTTATACTGAGTAATCTCTGTCAGTTCTAAACTGTTCTCCCTAGAGGTCCAGTAAGGATCACCTCTTATTGATCCAGTGTTACTACAGGAGGAAACTTAAACTAAACTAACTTGATTTATATTGGGTAGCTCTGTTAGTTCTGAACTGTTGCCCTAGAGGTCCAGTAAGGACCATCCCTTGTTGATCGAGTGTTATTACAGGGGGAAAAGTAAACTAAACTAACTTGATTTATACTGAGAAGTCCAGTAAGGATTATCACTTATTGATCATGAGTAAACGTGTAGTGAAATGAGAAAACCTGCAACGTCCATCGCATTACCTTGCTGCACAGGGCTGTAGGTTACAAACACGTCTCGTTTCTTGAAGTCTGGTTTGAAAATTACATTTAGAGTCTGCGACATTCTCTCCAGTCGTAGCATGAACGCACTGTACTATACCTGACTGGATACCTATAGGAAATGTAGCACATATGATTACCTTAACGAAAGTTGAATTTAATTAAAGTGCAACTAACCACTAATATGATTTTTGGTATGTGTGATATTTGGGTCATTCAAAGAAGAAATGTTATATATCTTTATAACAAAAAATCCCATCTTGATCAACTTTTTCACTGTCAAAGTTTCCGGATATGATGTCATTAGGTGAATTGCAAATTAGTTTTCTTTTGTCTTGGTTTATGCAAGAAATAGTCATGTGTTCATGAGTTCATCGTCACGTGTGTAATGTTTTTTCGCCCAACGAACCAATAGTAGTGTGTTGGTTTAATTACCCAGTCGTGATATTACACAATGGTTAAATGAAAACATAGCTATTGGTTGCTCTAGTGAAAATACAATACACACGTGAAGATGAACCCTCCATTTCTTGCATAAACCAAGACAAAAACATAGATAATGAGATCTATTATGTCTGTATCGAATTCCCTAACCTTATTCTATTGACTATATGGTTAAAGTGCGACTAACCCCAAATATAATTTTTGGTATGTGTAATATTTGGGTCATTCTGAGAAGAAATGTAATGTATCTTTACAGTAAAAAACCTCCTCTTGATCAACTTTTTCACTGTCAAAGTTTCCGGATATGATATCATTAGGTGAATGTTTGGTACAAAAAACAAAGGAAAACTAATTTGCAATTCACCTAATGACATCATATCCGGAAACTTTGACAGTGAAAAAATTTATCAAGATGGGATTATTTTATCCTATTCATATATAAAATAGTATTCACGCAAACACTTTTAAGTCAGTCCTGTGTTCCTCTCGGTAATAGACTCGGTGATCCAAGTACCATCTTTTGCATGAGGGCCATCATTCTCTAATTTTCACCCTTCTATCTCATTACGCCTCTTGATAAATAAAAATTAATTTATATAGTACAACTATCCTCACCTCCTGCACAAGACGACGAACAAGGTGTGAACCCAACCATCTTCCATATATATCCATCGACACCGCTAGTCCGCTCTTGATTACTGGTATAAAACTGTTTCTTGGCGTTTGGATTCTGCCACGTACGACCCTGGGTTTCTGGTCGTACCTGGCCGCCAAACCGGTTTCCAACTGTGCTGCTGCCCGAATTTGGGCGGCGATAACCAGTTCTCTTAGAGTCGTCAAACCGGTTTCCAGGATGGTACGGAGCTGACTGTGATTTACCGAACTGGTTTCGTTTGTACACTTGTTGGTTGAGAAATGGTCGTCTGGCAAATTGCACGGCCGGTTTTGAGGTTTGTTTGGGCTGGTCGTTCCCATCTCCTCCAAACTGAACCCAGGATGATCCATACGATACCTAACGATGGTAAAATGATATCAATTCACTGGAAAAAGAACTTTACAACCTTTTATACATGAACAAATACCGGGTGTTCCCCCCAAAAAACTGGACACTGTTTCATTTCATGTAACGTAAAAGCCATAAAAACTACCGCAATGAATTAAGGATCATTGCATTCAAAAAGGACTAACATAGATTTTGATATATAACACTTGAATTTACATACAATATTGAGCGAGATACAACCTAAATAAAAATATTTATTATTTAAGTTCACAAGTATAACTACATCTGTTTTATGCTAATTTTTGGCATTTTCAAAAACAGTAGTTCAACGTTCAAACATCAATAGCGCAGTCAATATTGCATGCAAATTCAAGTGCCATATATCAAAATCTAAGTTAGTCCTTTCTGAATGCAATGATCTTTATTTCATTGCGATAGCTTTTATAGCTTTTACGTTACATGAAATCAAACAGTGTCCAGTGTTTTTTGGGAAAAGAGAGCAACAAGTTGGGTCTTAGGAACGACACTTCGACGTCAAAGGTAGATTAAAGTTTGGAAACGTAGTGAGAATACAGATTGTGTTTGAAAGAGGAAATAGAGGTACATTCAAAAATGATTTTGGGGCTCTTGTGTTTTGACCAATGACAGCTACATGTGTTTACCTGTTTTCCACGTTGACCTTGCTCACCGCCACCATAACCTTGACGCTGCCCTGAGGACTGTTGTGGGTAGCTAAAACCTTGTCC